CGGACTTGTCCACGGTACGGTAGGCCTCTCGACTGGGGTCCCTGTGAGGGTAAGATCAAAACCATGAATTTGTAGATAATGACATGTTCATAAATTAGAAATGAATACTGTTTCGACAGCAAAGCACAATTAACTTGATACAAAGCAAAATGACAAATACTTATTTACATTAAATTTACAGTTTTTAAGACGAGAGCTGTCTTAAAGCCTGACTCCCTGAGCTGGAAATATCTGGCTGGAAATTTCTGACTGATCCGTATATCAAAACCTTTCTCTGCAGCTATCGCTGGTAGAATCTGTAGGCTATCGCCACTACTTCAAGTGAATACATTTTCCCAGAATAAAATTCTCTCGAGGTAACGCTCTACAAATTTCTGCTATCGCACCACCGATCTGAACTCTTGTTATCTCTGACTTCGCTCGTATCCCCCGCCCTGCAAACAGGACGCTGGGATACTCTGATGAGCTTCACAGAATCTTGTGAAGGAAATGGCCTATGACCTTTGTATAAAGCATCTGGCTGCAGCTGTTCAAGACCGCAGTTAATAGACAATGTTCGCATATGCTATCCGAAAACTTTCAATCGAAATGCACACGTTCCATACCGGATGTGATTCCTGTTTCATTGCGGACCATGTGGACACAATTTTGAGCGTCGCATAATGCAATCCGACCGTTCGTGATTCGAAACGGAGCCTGAGCATGTGACGGGAATTGTAAATTTACAACACAGATAAGTTTTACAAAATTCCCTACATTATTACTTTTTTCAATGAAAAACAAAATCTCTAAACTGGAATAACAGAGTAATGAATCAGTCTTAACGACCGTTTCAAACCTTGCAGAGTCATGACCGTGATGACGCGCTGGGCACACCATGAATTCATCAGAGTATCCCAGCGTCCGGTCTGCAGGGCGGGGGGGGGGGGGGTACGAGCGAAGTCTCTTACATGAACTGTCCAGCAAACTTCCCTAGCATAAACGTCCACAAGAAACTACCACAAACAGCCCTCTAAATTTTATGTAACTTAAAAGCCACGAATTCTTTCAAACTTTCCCGCTACGGCCTTATTCGGGATACCACTCCCCAAAAATCAATCACAGTTTAGGCCGTATCAACATAAGTGAGGCGGACCGTGAAGACCTAATGAATATTAAATATGAAGAAACAAAATTGCGCCCTCTTGTGACACATAGAAATACAGCTTCAAAGATCGGTGTAGAGCTGGAAAACGTCATTTCTGCCAATCCTCAAGTGAAGGGGTAGTCTTGGATACAAGACGTCCTTAGCGGTGCGATGTTTCATCGCGCACCGGTTATTGGACTGTACATCGATTCACCGAGGCGGGCGCCATTAGACACACGGTTCGTTCTCAGATGTTTATAATTATGTCTGTGGGCGTGTTCCTATATACATTCAAAATCGTGGACGTTGAGCAAAAGAGGACAATAGGGTCCACGATTGACTGAACGTCCATGATTGACGATCGTGTACAAAACATATGGGAGTCTTCCTAAACAGTTAGTGGACTAATAAAAGAGTGACAATAGGGGGTCCACAATTGAAGGTGTTTATATGACTGCATGGGTTCTTTGAACGAGTCACCGAGGTTTGTAAATTTAACAGAACGCCCTCTATCGATTTAAGTATTGAATATTAACAATTAATTGCAGCCAATTAAAAAAAAAAAATAATGAACTGGTAAAACAGCACCACTCATCAGCAGATACTTCTTTATACGGCTGTGTGAACATCGCCGCCTGGTGTCGAATGGTGCCCCCCCCCCCCCTCAAATTTGCAATGCCTTCAAAAATGTCATGATTTGGGGGCATCGTTCCTCCATTCACGGACCCGGATTTTCGCCACTGATATCGGCGGTCTGAGGGGAGAGCAGGCTCCCTTGATATGAAGAAACACCAAATCTTGCGTCCGCGAGCGATACATCTTTTAAGTCAATTAGTAAAGCAAAACATAACGTGTCCTTAAATAAAACTATCCATATTCAGTGAGAGCAGTGAGTCTCCGTTTCATGAGGAATTACATTTTCAACTTAGAATTTTGCCAGCTAGATATCATAGTGCTTATGCAGAACATTTTGATTTTAAACTGCACAGTAAGATCAAATAAACGTAAGAACAGGCAAAATCAACAGAGAATGGGATAAACGGATTGGCAAAGGCAAATTTAACATTATCAGCTGGAATTAAACCTTTTGTTTATTTTGTTCCTTAAAAGTTCTACTAGTTTGAAGCTTATAGCCAGGATCACACTTATATGTAACTGTAGTAACACATCACAGTTTGAAGAGAATTTAAACTAACAAATGACGTCATTGTGTTGTCATTATTGTTCAAAAGAGAGTGATAAAAAACTATATCTGTAACAAACTGCAAAACTGTACTGATATAATAAAAAAAACTTCAGATATATATTTTTAGACCTTTCTGATGATAACACTTTGACCAAAAAAAACTTGATTAAGAGAATTTACTGCCTGCAAATGTATCCATTATTATGTTATTCTTTCTTACCACAAACTGATCAACAAAGTCGGATATTCTTTTCAAACTGCACAAATATTTCTAAGATATATGTCTCCACCTTCAAGATGATAGCAGTCTGACAAAAGCTTATTCACATCCCAACAAAAGTACCTAATATTTAAGAGTTAAAACAAGCAGTAACAATGTGCCATGTCATGATCACCAATTTTGTCCCTCATTGCTTAGTTTACAATCAGAAAACAGGTCGTAAATCCATGCCTTTGGACACTGTGAGTGCAATACCCGGGGTGTCATGGGGTAACTTTTCTCGTTTTCAGATCCAACAACCTAAAAATTCCGGAAACCAAATTATACTTAAAAACTAAAAATGGATGAACAATTAAAATAATGTATAAATTATACTAAGTCATTACATGTTACACCACATCTTTATCAATAATTACTAATGTGGTTTGTATAAACTTTGGCTTCGCCTCCCTCTTCCGCTTTGCCTGATTATTTAAATCCCTGACTTTGGAGATTTTTTTGCTAAATAGCTTCAGGGATATCAAAATCTATGATGTTAGAATTCATATTATTGTTGCTCTCTATGACTTTGCTTTCTCTTGCCAATGTAGGCCTACATATAAATATTCAGGTTTAAAATGTTAAAGTAACCCTCCCCGGGGTTCTGTTTCTGTATCTGTATGGCTACGTTGCAGAAACCTATTCAGGCATTATCGCAACGGAGTACTGAAGTACTCAAGGCACTGGGAGTTATGTCTTTTATTAGATGAATGATGAGAGACATGAGACCCATTTTGTGGCACCAGGGTTTACAAGGTGCTGCGGCCACTACCAGAAACACCGGGGCGAACCCCTTCTCTTAGCGACAAGTGTTACTGGGTTCTTTAACGTGCATTACACAACACACGGGACCTACGGCTTTGCGTCCCATCCAAAGGACGAAGCAATAGTGGTAAAGTGCCTTGCTCAAGACCACAAGCACCATTTTCCCACGGTCGGGATTCGAACCCGTGTACCACAGCACACGAGCCGAACACCGTAACCATTGGACCACAGCACCCCAAGTGGTGTGTTCCAAGTTGGAATATAAAACAAATGAAAATGAAAAAAAAAAAATGATATTAAGCCAAAGATGAGAGTGTTTTCATTTCCGTTAATTGAAGGCCAAACATTAGTTCCTATGTTGACAGGAGACTGCGCCGCAGCCGAGACGAAGCCAAGGTTTGGGAAACTCATTTGCAAGAAACTTCAGTCAGTATGAAATGTTATACGAGCCATTGAATATTCGTTTTCTTTCGTTTACTATCCTCGAGTGTCTTGGCCGCTCATCTCAACTGGAATTAACTCATTAATTCACAGAGTTGTAATCGAGTCAGTCACAAGTCATCACAAGTCATCACAAGTCATCACAAGTCAATCACAAGTCATCCAGTCTCAAGTGAGTCACAAGCTAATGAGCCGTGACTGAAGGCATTCGTTCCTTTGTTACTTGTGATCTGGATTGTGATTGTCTTGTGATTGGTTTGTGATTGGCACATGTGATTAACTTGAGATTTGACTTATTTAAGCATGGAGTTGTGGAGGTATCCGTCCCTCGCCGTGTATACAAGTTACGAGCTAATCTTTATTATCACTGCTGAATAAAACAACTACGGTTTGTTTCCATGGACACATGTTATCAATCACGATTTTGTACATTTTCAATACTCATTCTTTCAAAGCTTCTTTGTGATGGAGCCTGATATTCAGTTTATCAAAAACAGAAACACACGTTATGTAAACACACACAGATATTTAACTATATATATATATATATAATAATTATTAATATTAATTTGTTTCATATATACAGTGACACCAAAACTGCTTATCGGCAAGCAGTGATATTGTTCTCATGCTACAAAATATCATTTACACTTCTATAGTGCACTTATTGAAGAGGGTCATCCAATTACGGGCAAACTCAAAGCAGGCTCTGTATCCAGGATGATACATCTGAAAGCTACAATGTTACTTTAGTTTTGCCCTTTTTTCAATGTGAGATCGACTCTGTGTATTCATTCAAGCTCAAGCCGGTGTGGGTTTGCTAGTGGGTTGCTCATCTTCCAAAAAGCTAACTACAGCTAGGGTCAACTGGGTGCAAGTTGGACTGTATTCTCGTCAAGTTTGACCAGAATGTTTTCAGAGTGTAAACAAGGCGTGACGTCATGTCGTCTCAGTTTATTTTGCAATCATCTTTGCAGATCTGTGCCAGTCATACCTTTTGGCCGAAGCAAACCTCGCCCCCCCCCCCCAAAAAAAAGACAGAGGAATTCATAACTGTCTGCTATCAAAAGCTACAATAAAGATGGAACCATCTTTTGCCGTAAGCTCAGGTTTTTTATCGTAGTATTTGATTATACTGCGAGGGTTCGAATTCTAGACTTCTTGAAACTTTCAAGATAATTCTAATTCTTAAAACTGTATGTCATTCGTACTTCTCATAGGCCCTACTTGATATTGTAATCGCCAATCTGTTTGAACAATAAAAGATGCAACGCTTGTTTCCTGCACGTGGCAAATGTGAGTTGAATAAGAACTGTACGAGAAAACTTGCTCCTCGAAAAGCGGTCCACGTTACGTGATCAACAACTGGTTGTTTGACAAGCGGCCACAAATTGAAGAAGGGACAATTAATGGATGAACACCAAAGCAGTTAATTTAATATACTGATGCTATAATTCAAAGTTGTGAATCGTTCGACTTGAGCGGCTGCTTGGTTCGAGTACGGTTACAGAATTGTCAGGGCAGCTATTTGTGGCATCGGCATGATACAAATTGCCAAATTGAATGCGGAAATGTCCTCCATTTCTATGGCCAAACGAGCCGGACGACAAAGCTCTTATTTTTTTCATGATATTTTGTGGGAGGGAAATGATTTCATATATCAACTCAAAACCATTCCACATGATGCTCTGAGATTTCTTGGATTGATGTGTTTTTACTGAGACATTCTCGCCTTTTGCATGCACGATGTGTTTGAAGTTTTTTTGTACTGTGAATAAAATCTTGAAAATCACTGACATTGTATGCTATGACAACAATGTTGGTTAAATGTCTTACTGCGGAAGTCATTTTTCTAACGTTCAATGCCGACGTCAAGTAACTAGATAACGTCATCGCTCAGTGTAATAATGTAAACGCACAATGCGCGCGGCAGACACTCCAAATACTATCAACATGCTGCATCTACTGAGCCCGGCCCTTAAGGCCGAAACTAAAATTCCACTTCTAAGTTGGTCATTAGACTCAGTGCTTCGGTGATTTGTGTCTCATCGTCAGCGGTCAAAAATCACCTTACAAAAGAAAGCTTTCGAAAAAAAAAGATTTTTTGCCAGGGCCTCATTGCGAGACAGATCCAATTCAGCAAGGTTGGGCAGATTTTTCAGCCCAATGGCAATGGGCTCCAAGTCTTCACTTTTCAATGCGCAGTAATGCAGGGTCAGTTTCGTGAGGGTTTTGATTTCCCCCAAGTGAGACCATGACCGACCGGACCCAGCAAGGGTCTGATTGCGAGACAGATCCAATTCAACAAGTTTGGGCAGATTACTCAGCCCATCGGCAATGGGCTCCAAGTCTTCTCTTTTCAATTCGCAGTCTTTCAGGTCCAGTTTGTTGAGGGTTTTAATTTCCCTCAAGTGAGACCATGATAGACCTGATCCAGCAAGGGTCTTATTTAGATACAGATCCAATTCAACAAGTTTGGGCAGATTACTCAGCCCAACGGCAATGAGCTCCAAGTCATCACTTTTCAATGCGCAGTACTCCAGGGTCAGTTTCGTGAGGGTTTTGATTTCTCCCAGGTGAGACCATGACTGACCTGACCCAGCAAGGGTCTGATTGCGAGACAGATCCAATTCAACAAGTTTGGGCAGATTACTCAGCCCAACGGCAATGGGCTCCAAGTCATCACTTTTCAATGCGCAGTTCTCCAGGGTCAGTTTCGTGAGGGTTTTGATTTTCCCCAAGTGAGACCATGACTGACCTGACCCAGCAAGGGTCTGATTGCGAGACAGATCCAATTCAACAAAGTTTGGCAGATTACTCAGCCCAACGGCAATGGGCTCCAAGTCATCACTTTCCAATTCGCAGGCACTCAGGTTCAGTTTGTTGAGGGTTTTGATTTTCTTCAAATGATACCATGACTGACCTGATCTAGCAAGGATCCTATTTCCAAACATATACAATTCAACAAAGTTGGTCAGATTACTCAGTTCCCCAAAAATGTGCTCCATGGCACTCCCCGTCAGGACGCATCCTCTGAAAAACACGGCGTAAAGCTGCGTCATTTTTTTCAGGCGTAGTGAGGAAATTAAACGTGACAAGTCGTTCTGAGAATCATGTGTAGGCGGATAAACGCCACCAATAAACATTGATTTCAGACGTGCCATTCTATTCACTTGATTCACAAAATCTACACCTAACCTTCGGAAGGTTGTTGGTGTTATGCTTAGGGAACGTATCCTTTTGAGGCGAGCATTCCCTCCACTCTTTTTTTCGTCAGTAACGTTGTTTAGGAAGTACATCAACGATGTCGAATGATCACCACTTAAAGCGCCAACTGCTTGGACATTTGAAGCAATAACAGAGTTAATTAACTCCGTTGGTGGCAATTTCTTGCTCTGGCTCTCAAAGTGACAATCCAGGGCTATGTGTAAGTTTCTATCATCCAGATCTCCACATCTGACTTGATGTGATAATATTTTCAAAATTGAATTTGTACTTGTCCCATCATTGTCACCGCAACAAAAACGCAGAAGATATTCAAACCCTGCTGTATCAGACACTTTACGAAAGAACGTTTCAAATCGCTTCGTTTCTTTGTTCGATGTTAAACTTTGGTAGTATATCGCAGCGCAAACTTCTTGGAACGTCTTATGGATGAAATGAACATTTTTACAAGTGTCGATCCCCTTAAAGACCCGCTGGCTGGTGAGGATGCCAGCTCGTATTGCCATATCAAGCACATCCGGTTCAAAATCCTCCTCTTGAAATGATAGCTTTTGAAAATATGAAAGTAGACCACCCAAAGCAACCTTCCCAATTGCAATAACAAGCCTTGATATCTCTTCTGTTGACATTTGTGTCTTACGTTTAAATATGTAACGCAGTGCCTCTTTATAAAGCCGGAACATGGTGTCAGGGAGTGTAGCACTCTCACTCCATAACAAACACATCAACAACAACAGCATGGGACTTTGCGCTAAATCTTTCAGAACATCTGATGAAGTAATCCTCTCAAGAAGTCCATTAGCTTTGGACAGTTCTTGTGAGTAATATTTGCGCACATATTCTTTAATATCGTCCTTGCTAAACCCCAACACTTCCACAAGAGCAAACGGTTTTTCAATCAAAGTGTTCTTTACCAGTTTGTCATAGTGTGATGGCCGAGTTGTCACAAGTATACCGCATTTTTTGTACTCCCCCTTTCGATTAAGCATTTTGAGGATCGAACCAAACTCCGTCTCATCAAGTTTGGTGGACTTGAATTCATCAAAACCATCCAACAGAAACAGAACGTCTTCGGGGTTGGCTGTAATGAATGATTTCAAATCTTCTCTATTTATGGTCTTTTCATCTAACAACTGATCAAACACCGCTTCAATTACATCCGACTTTTGTTGCAGGGAATGCATTTTCAACACAAAAACAAGTTTGTACTTTTTCAGTGCAGCAACAGTGCCACAAGCCCAATCGTAGGCAATTTTGTCAAGAAGAGTCGTTTTCCCTAAACCAGCCCATCCTCTTAAAATTGCCCGTATAATTGGATAACCCTCTCTTGATTTGAGTTTGAAAATATCCCAATACGATTTTACCTCTCCCTTCAAATCATCATTATCCTTTTCTAATTGTAGCTTTGTGTAGATGTCCATGATATGTCTTTTGTCGTCATCGACCCATGGAAGCATCTGCACATAGCTACCCGTCGTCTCATATATATAGTTTAACTCCTTTTCGCACTTATTCGCAGCGAGCTGAGCTGGATCATCACGACGAGTCTCCTGTGTCGTACAGCTTCCTGGCTGTTGTTGCCTTGCACTTGACCCACTCGATTCTGATGTGAAAGGTAACACAACACAATTTGAAACAAATCATGTAAGTCAATCAAAGTGAGAGTTAGGTTCGAATTTTGTTGTTGACTGGTTTTCATTTCATTCGCCGAATATAACGAAGAAATGAATCTTAGATTCAGATTTTCGTCAAGTGGCAGATTGGCTCTATTGATAATTACTGAACTCTTTCATTCGGGCCACTTTATTCTTTGTTGTTCCATATGTTATAATGACAGATAGCGATATCTACTAATGACGTTAGGTTGGATGATAAGTAACATTTGCTTTTGACATACCATTTTGTTGAAAAAAAAATGAAAATATGGCCGCAGATGCTTTTACTAAAACGCACTTACAATATTCTGAAAGTATTTACCTTTTGCTTTTTATACTACATGTATACGCGTTTACTTTGTTTTGTATGAATAAAATGGAGTAAATGCACCAGATTTGAAGTATGTACTGGTATTTACTTTACATTTTGTCAAGAGTTTTGATGATCAAATTAACCACTGTAGTGTATGCAAACCAACTCCTCATTGCCAGAAATGTTAAGGTCGCTCAAAACATTCTTTGCCAACTATTCAATTGAACATCTTTAGAACGGATAATGTAATACTGACCGATAGTGTAGTAACATTAACTACACTATCAGTCAATTTATGTTACATTATCGGTAAGTGATACAGTATCGGTAAATTTGTGTGACATTATCGGTAAGTGATACAGTATCGGTAAATTTGTGTGACATTATCGGTTGGGTGATACATTATCAGTTGGTAAATACATTATCAGTTGTAACAACCCATGATGTTCTATACAGATGATCTATACAGGGCCACCCCCCTCCTTCTCCATTTTATTTTGCGGAGGCCGTGTTTTCGGCGAAAAAAAAACTGGCTGCCTTTCAACATGGATGAGGCGAGTACCATTTTTGATGTTTACTCCCTCAATAGAAAATTCACTGTTATGTAGATTATATTACTGAACTGTTCAGGTCTTTCAGTACAGTCACTTAAATGTTTGGTAATAATTGCCAACACTATAGTGCCCTACCCAGGCAAACATTTTTTTTTCCATCGGATAACAATCGTGACTCCCATTTAGCCTTGGACGGTTTTTCACGGTAAACCTTTGCTTCACTTTCGTACATCTTAATTTGAGGGGCGTGTTGCTACAATCACATTTTGTACATGACATTTTGTTTTGCCGGTACTCTCTTTTGACCTATCGCGGTAGAATCGCGTTAGGGGTCCGCTCATAAGTCCGACGCCTCAAAGGTCCGACGCCTCATAAGTCCGACGCCTCATAGGTCCGACGCCTCATAAGTCCGACGCCTCATAGGTCCGACGCCTCATAAGTCCGACGCCTCATAGGTCCGACGCCTCATAAGTCCGACGCCTCATTAGTCTGACAACGTAAAAATAAGGCGTTTAATTTGTCGGACTTATGAGGCGTCGGACTTATGAGGCGTCGGACCTATGAAGCGAAATTAATAAATGTTATGCCTCACAAGTCCGACGCCTCATAAGTTCGAAATTTCGGACTTATGAGGCGTCGGACCTATGAGGCGTCGGACTTATGACACGGCCCCTCGCGTTAGAAACGCGTCAACGCTGCTTGCGAAATATTGTCCATTCACAGGATATACGAATGGACGCGGAACGCGCAACATCTGAGACAAACAAAACTCTAGCGTACAGAAACTCCATAGGGTTGTCTAAGGGGCGTAGCCAACTCGCAAACGACGATAGGTCAATTTCGGCTGAGCATTGCAGTATAAAGTTTGAATCGAACATCATTTCATTAAAAGTGAAAGCCATGGTCCAAACGAAATGAAGCTCGGAGTGTAAGAAGGTTTGCAAATCCCCTCTATTTATGCTCTTGTCGTCTAATATCTGAGTTCGAATAGTGACTTTTGTATCTTAATCCTGTGCCAGAGTTGTTTTTTCTGTGGTGTAGTAGTTAATTCGCCGAAACATCTCTGCTAAAGCTTTAAAAAATGAAGTGTTAATAAACCAGTCGTCGTTATTATCCCAAAGTGTGCACGGTTCTACGAAGATCAATTTATTCTCTGCGGGCTGTAACGGTCGGGTGTCAAATCGTGGTAGCACAATCACAACCAAAATATGACACCGGTACATATTTATTTTGGAAACCAACAATATGATATATTATCAAAGCTAATCGCTATATATCAGCATTCACAGATTATAAAGAGCATCATAACAGACAAAAGAAATTCGTTGAGTGCACTTCTCCATTTAGGTACATTTTTTTGAGGGGGGGCAGTTTCAGGACTGTTCTTTTTCACAAAGGCAAATGTCATGTCTTTCTTGTGAAAATGATTACGCCAAGTGATCGGTGCATTATTGTCCTAGTCTGCAAAATTACTGGCAAACTTCTGTTTACACTGTGCAATAAAAAATGTCTCAATAAGTGGTGTGCGTGTGTGGATTTACCTGCTGAAGTAGAAGGCATGCTTCTCAGTGGTATCCCTTCTTCACCGCCGTCACTTTGACTGTTGGAGCGCCGCCGCCGCCCATCTGAATACAAAAGACAGGGACATTAAGTTGGTGTGCGTGTTGTATAGTGGCCCTTCTTATTTAAATTTCTTCACTTTGATCAATGGATAGCGTTAACTCACGGAAAAGAAAATAAGTCTAGTAAATGTCAAATGCTTAAAGGTTCAATGGGATGCATGTCTGTGGTTGCATAGCACCCAGTTAAATAACAGTTGTCTTTCATTTCAAGAAATTTTATGCAAATAAAATGCAAGTATGTTTGATCTTTTTTTTTATCAAAAAAGTGTTCCCCTTGTAAATCTAATAACATTACACTGATCAGCGAAGTCACAAGACTAACTGTAATGTGAGAAGTAAATCCAGTATGGCCACCAGCAAAAAAGAAAAAAAAAACATTTTTCTTTAATGATTAGAAATTTTGAATGAATGTTTATGGTTATTATTTGCATATCCTGCATAATAAAATCCATACATGGAAAACACATTTTCCAGATTTAAAGCGCATTCCACTGCGAAAATCAGATTTGGTGGAAAAACTAGACACACATACAATTATTTCTTCAAAGAAAACCGTTATAGCGCCACCTAGCGATGACCACGAGTGCCCAAGCGAGCCAAGCTGAGGGACAAGTACTCCGTACCGGTCCTACTAAAGCGGGTCAACAAGCGTCAACAAGCCTCAACAAGCGTCAACAAGCCTCAACGGTCGTCAACGAGCGTCAACAAATTTTAAAACTTGGTTTTTTGAACGCGAAATGTACGACGAATTTGTCTATAAAAGTTGGCCACCATCTTGTTTATAAACAAGACGCTTTTTGACGCGCTTTAGTAGGACCCCGGGGGTCTTGTTAATGTGTAGCTAGCCGTACTTCGCATGCGTGAAGTGTACAGAGCCATACTACGCATGCGCGAAGTCTACAGCGCCATCCAAACAAGATGGCGGCCAACATTTATCGACAATTCGTTGTACATTTCGCGTTCAAAAAAAACCAAGTTTTAAAATAATTTTAACTTTAATTGATATGTAGAAGATGCTCTGTATTGCCTTTTCTACCATATAAAGCTGTTTTTAATGTTCAAAAGCCTGTACAAAATTTGTTGACGCTCGTTGACGACCGTTGAGGCTTGTTGACGCTTGTTGACGCGCTTTAGTAGGACCCCTCCGTACACACTTTCATATCATAGCACGAAATTTAAAGGAAAAAAAACATTTACTTCAAGGCGATGTGCAGTGGTGCAGCCAGCGTGTGTGGGTGCGCGTCGTGCTGTGCATGGTCATGGTGTAAATCGAGGACACACATGTGAAACATCATCGAATAATGGATGACAGGAGTCAAAACGAGGACGACCTCGATAAGAAAATGTGTAACAAAACCAATGGGAGATGTTGCAAAAAAGTATAAACAAAAGATCGATGATGAGGAAAAATAGAAAATCCTCGATTTACACAATAACGAACCTGTTTGTGTATATTTTGCAAGGAGTTCCCCATTTTACGATTTCCTTTTTTTTATTTAGGACTCAGTGGAAAAAAGGCTTTCGTGAAAAAAATACTAGTGAATATTGGTTTTACGAGTGCTTTTTTTAACGGAGCGCGAACGTTGGCAATCGAGTCGCCACGAAAAGCTCCATGTATTGTTTTATAGCGCCACCACCCTCCTTCTCTATTTTATTTTGCGGAGGCCGTGTTTCCAGCGAAAAAAAAACCTTGTTTACCTTTCAACATGGATGAGGCAAGTACCCTTTTTGAATTAATACTCGCCCAATAGAAAATGACCTTAAAACGCAACTGTTATGTAGATTATATTACTGAACTGTACAGGTCTTTTGGTACTGTCACTTAAGTTTTTGGTAAGTGCCCCTATCAAAGGACAGGGCAACGTCAAAATATTAACCCATTCTTACCTCGCAAACGACGACATACTCTATCCGCTCGAAATCTCACTAAATTATTCAGAAGATATACAATCAAGAAACAAGAAAAAAAACAGAAAACATGTTTCATAAAGGGTACAGCAATTCATGGATAACGTATGAGTTCATGAGGCAAAAATACGGAATGTCGGTACCTTCTGAAAGGACTATGGGTTTATAAATGTCTGTATCGACACAAAAAAATGTTTTAAGCACAATATGCTTAAAATTATCGCATACAAATGTACACGTTAAAAAAACAAATCAACAAAATATTAATTCCTTGATGTCACTAAACTCAATGGAATTCCTATCCCCTGTTGCCGTTTTTTCAGTGACTACACAATCATTCGGCAGTTTGGTTATCATTTTGCAGCTGAAATGTCACTTCAGTGACAAATTACCACTTTGATACCTTTGTTCTTAAAACCCACCCGGTTTTGAATTAGTGGTGGTAAATACACACAAATTGATAGTTACTCGTATTATGATTAACCCCAAATTTTGTCTTTTTGAGATGTAAACGCCATGTTTTTGAGGAGAATCGATGTTTTCACGTATCGTGTTTATTGCTTTACAACTTTATTTAAAAAGAAAAGAAAAAGAAAAAGACAAACTCTGACAAATGCTCGTGTGTGCATTGCGTTATAAGGTTTACAGGGTTTTTTTTTTGGGGGGGGGGCGGGGGTTAATAGATATTCAAAAATATTGTTTCCTGGCAACAACATTCATCTTTTCTTTGAATGAAATTGAAAATGCTATACCATCACGCTTCTAAAGAAACGGGCGAAATATAATTATTTCGCTGGTCTAAATTCAGTGGAAAGTGTTGTACTCACAGTATGTAAGAATTACTCCGATCAATGTGAGACTGAGACCAACGATTCCAATGCAAGTGCCAATGGCTGCCCAATCTCCAGCAGTCAATCCTGATCCTGCTGGTGTAGGTTTGGGGACCGTGGGTGCAGCCGGTACGGTTGTCATGTTGTCTGGTGATGCCATTGTATTTCTATACACGGGTATGCTGGATTGAAAATACAAAATAAAGATGACTTAAACGTTTAGTGCTCGTCCCTGAGGGCCAGCGTGTGTTCTCCTGTATGCATGGTTGACTGACTGACTGATGACTGACCGACTCCCCGATTGACTCCCCGACTCACTCACTCACTAATTAACGGACTATTCTTGACATCAGGATGGAACTGCCCAATTTAAGATTATCGAAAGATTTAAGTTTGTGGATGTGTTGGAGGATGTTACAACTGATAATGCAGTAACCAACGGATAACGTATCACCAACTGATAATGTATCACAAATTGACCGATATTGTATCACTAACCGATAATGTAGCAAATATTGACCGATAGTGTAGTAAAATTTGTATCCGATAATGTATCACGTGTCGACGGATAATGTAACTACAAATTAACTGTATCCGATAATGTATCACCTCGGAACGGATACCGTATCAACCTATAATGTATCAAAAATCAACCGATAATGTATCAGTATATTTGGAAAAGGTGGAAATATTGCAAATTAATTAAAGTCTAATAAGTTCCTTAACTATGATGAGTCCCCACTCGGGAAAGTTTATCATTAAGATTTTTTTTTTCTATTTGGGAGGGAGTTGCTCTGGTTTGGAGACGCTCTACTTCCAAGTGGGCCTAGGCTAGTGGTGTACCCAGCTTTTGATGTCGGGTGTGGGGGGGGGGGGGGGGGGGGGTAACCGCACTCGCACATCCGCGCCGAAATTAATGTGGACAAGTTAATTCTTTTCTCCGGACACTTGGCCTCCGTATGGGCTCCGTGCTCTAAAACAAGAGGGCGCGTTTTACCACTTTTGAGAGCACCATGGACGGGATATAGCGTGTGCGTACTGTAATGTACTGGTTCGCGCTCAAAGTTCACCACTTCCAGAATGTGCCAACCGGGCTATTAGCCGCAGCGTCTTCGCATGATCGTCAGGCAACGTCGGCGCGCATACGTTCAATTTAACTTGCGATGGTATCCCAGACTATTCCCTTCCCCAATAACTTTACATCATTCAAAATACGCAGTGGATGGACCGGGAACCAGTCTAGGTCCTCCCCCAACTCTCCGTTTCTGGCTGTTGAAGGGGCACTTGTGCACGGAGCCCATAGCTCCATGGTAAAATCAAAAGCTGAGGGGGGGGGGCGGGCTCGTGTCATATTTTCAACGGGGAGCGCTGATAAAATCCTACAATCATGTACACTATATTACTGTACCGTACAAATGCACCGGCTTTTGTTAAAAGGGAGGCACCGCTCGCTTGTGACGTCATTTGTTATTTGTCCACCCACTGACTTCAGTTTGTTGAACCCATACAGTTTGCAGTCCAAACGTCACGAGCCTGCTGTACCCTTGAGGCCAACACAGGCGCGGATCCAGGGGGGAGGGGGTTTAGGGGTCAACACCCCCCCCCCCCCCAGCGGTGACACCCTCCCCCCAAAAAAACATACCGGTATAATGTCCGCCTGTTCAAATTACGGACAAAGGCAGCTTAGATAGGGGGTATTTGTACACCATTCTGTAATCCAGTGTTAAAAATCGTCGAATTTGAACAGCGCCGCCTATTGAAATATGGTACCCTCAAGTTTTTGATTTTACGGAGGCCAAGTGTCCGGAGAAAAAAAACCCTGTGTACATTTTCAGATTTTTTTGCTGATGAACCCCCCCCCCCTGCGAACATTCCTGGGTCCGCCCTTGCAACAGTGGCGTAAATATCTAAGACAGCACGACGCGACGTCTGATGGTGCGTCGCTTCCTCATGCGGTGTACGTGCTTAGAAACGGTAATTTAAGAGGCGACGGCACGACGCGACGGGCGACTGCACGACGCGACTCGACGCAACGACGCCACGACGCGACGGGCGACGGCACGACGCGACGGACGACTGCACGACGCGACGTTACGACGCGACGGCACGACGTGAAAGCACGACGCGACGCAGATTTGGCGTCTATATAACACCATATATTAGGCGTCTTTAGAACACCATACGTTTGTGTTTATCACACAGTAATTATGAACTCAATGTTTTACCTTTATCTCAATCTCTGTATCGGCAATAGATACGAAGTCCTGTATGTTCGGTTTGTGAATCCAAAGGCAATTGGCGCGAATATGGCACTGATTTCCCGCCAAAATAATGGCTGTCGGGTGAGAACACGTCATCCGATCAAAATTTGTATCTTTGTACTTCTCGATAAACGTGTTCAAGTCGGCTCACTTTTTGCAAGTTTACGTTTTTGAGGGAAGCTTTGAAAAATTATTGTTTAAACAGTCGTGAATTACAGATCTTTGTATAGGTACGCATTTCAAGCAATTAATGCCTATAAATGAACGGTAACATTCCAAGAATTATGGTTAGAGGACAAAAATACACAAAATTAATTTAGTAACAACCATTCTCAAAAGTACAGAACAAAAACAAAATGATGACAACAATTTGAAAGGTAACTTCTTAGTTCATTCTTATATAAAGCAAACCAAAATCAGGTATGGGTAAAAAGTCATTTAGGTACAATTGATAATTTCTGAATACAATAAATTTCGGTGAAAATAAAACACTATGCACTTACTACACTGTGTTCAATGTTGGTTTTCTCAACTTATTGCTACATTTTGGGCTTTGGGCAAAATTTACTTACATTAATAAAATCTGAATGAAGAGCGGAACAATCAATTTTCATTTGTTTAATTCTTAATATATGTTTCAAAATGTTACAACCACTTTACTTTTGCAATGTCTGATTTGAATCGTTATATTCTCTTAACATCTGATGCAAAAAAAAGCAGTTTAGTTAAAATATTTTTCCAGAGATCACCAATATTAAATTATGGAATAACACACTCTAAGAAAAAAAAATTGTTCAACATTGTTTTTAAAAATCGTCATATTTTCTTTGTCTACCAGCTTTGTTGTTGATTATGAGTATATTTATGTATTTTATGGTTGTGCGCATTGCAAATTATGACTGCAGTGACAATGTTCTTGAAAGAAAACCGAGACAAGATAAAATAATGCCGAAAAGTGAGACGGTGAGTTTATACTGTCCCCCCCCCCCCCCCACACACACACAATTTTTTTTTTCCAGAGATCACCGATAATAAATTATGGAATAATACACTCTAAGAATAAACAAATAATTGTTTAACATTTTTTTTAAAATCATCATATTAATAATCCTTTCAATGAATAAAAACGAAATGTTAAAAAAACATTAATTCACAAAATAGATCGTTTTTATGAGGGAATATTATAAGAGCGTCATTGAAGGTGCTACTACACGGTAAGTGCTTGCAAGCACGTGGTAGCGAGCAGGATTCACTGCATGATAAAACGAAGTGAATACAGATTCTTTATATGTTGACTACAATCATGTAATCTACACGTTTGCTATAGAGCATTAATTAGCTTGAATAATGTTTGTAGAAACCAGAAAGCGTTAAAATTACGACTTTAAAAGGGTATTTAGATTATCACTTTATTGCACACCGTTTTTTTACGAATGGAAGAGGCACTCAGACGGTATGTCGTGATCACCTGCCGCAAGAGGGCGCTATGAAAATGATCCACTTATGGGTGCAGGCCAGTAAATCAGTCTAAAATTGTCTACGCCGGCGAAATCACGATTTGCATGCCCTCAAAATCTTCCGTATTGTAGTATCAAATTGTGGTTCATGAACTTGAGGGTTTGTCAAGAATAAGGGTGGAAGCTGTGCACAGGACCGTGAGCTTGTATTTATGTAAAATTTGGATGAAATTGAGGCCCTAAAGCGCTCTATTTTGCAATGGTGTGTAGGCATCGTTTTTCAAAATGGCGATGGGCTTCAGGACTATCTTAAGGGGGGATCCTCTTCGGATGGACATTTCTCCCAAGAAGTCATTGGATTAAAACCCGAATGTCGAAAGGAAAATGAACGATAATGAAATAAGCTTTAATTTGATGTGTGTCTCGAACACATCAGAGAGTTGTGAGTATTTTTTTCTGAATTTCTGAAGTGGGGGCATTTACCATTGGGGTTTATGGACATTTATTTACTAGTCTGCCCCCTTATCACAACACGCATCACTATACAATTTCGTTGGAGTCGATTCCGACGATCGAAATAGTCGAATTCAGTGAGGGTTGCATTACAATTGCCCTCTTAATTTATTACTGTAATATCTGTGCGCTATAGACCTAGTCAAACTGCATACACGAAGGTCTTGAAACTAAGACTACAGGTATCGCGGAAGAACAAACGTGGACCTATCAAATGTTTGTGTGATAATGCCACGAGGCATACATAGTCTACATCTCAGTACATTGATGTGAACCGTTAACTGAAGAAACCCTTGCCTATCCGTCGAATGAATCTGTTGCCGTTTTGAATCGTTTTGTTTCTGACGGTTACAACTTTTCCGATCGAGCTCTTGAAAGGAGATGACATAGATCTGCTGGTATGCTTTGCCATGTACCTAACTGTTGCAGAATAGCAGATTGAACTGTACTTGGGGCGTAAACCAGACTGTGACTGTGACTGCATGCACACAGTTCAGTGTGTGATGATGACTCAACAGTGGTGTGATTTGACGTAACTACTCATTAAACCATGACTTTGTACAAGAAAAACAATTATCTGAAATTTATCTAAAAATTAATAATTGCTGCGTCAGAATCAACAAAAAGATGAATTAATGGGTTAATTGGTGAAACTGCGTTCTCAACGTGTGTGGCCATCATCAGGATTGTTAGTCGGTCAATAGAGCCTAAAAGTAGAAAGATCACTCGGTGAGCTGAGCTGACACCCTCGCGTGGCCCGCCTACGCACATTTTACATCGGGTTGCCTTTAAACCTGAATATTATTGTGGAGTGATTTCTGACTATGACCTCCCTCTACAAACACTCATGTTGGAATTATGTCTTGGTATTGTGAAAGTAAAATTGAGACACTTGGACATGGGTAAAACTGAATTTCGTTTGCGACCTT